GCCTTCACCGGCGCCAGTGGTGGCAGATTTGGAGCGCAAGCGCTCCGATCTTCGGCTCCCAGCAGGCAGTCTGCTACAGACTACTACCGGGAGCCCCACCGAGATAGGCGTTCCAGACACTACCTCAGTGGACGCCAGATCTATTCCACCACTCCTCCTCTGCGACTCCTCCTTCTTGTTTCCCATCGTTCCTTTTTCCATTGTGCTCGCCTTTTTTGTTGTTTGTATCGATCCTTTGTTATTAATTTTACTGTCATTTGCCATAATTAAACCCACGAGTGGGGGAGAACTAAAGGTCCACCCGGGCAGAGATCCCCCAATACCCGGGCAAGCGTAAATTTATGCCCAACCGAGGGGTCCGCAAGTGCCCCGGCTGGGAGTGCGCTTACGACTGAACTACCCATCAGCCATGCATCCCCTGGCCACGCACCAGAACACGGGATTCGGGGCATTTTTTAGAGAGGTTTACATCCTCGCGGTCCGGGCGGTTAAGCCAAGACCCTCGTCCCCGATCAGAGCCGCGAGACTTGACCACAGCGCTCTTCTCGGGATTACGATATGCCGACGGTGACAGGGAGACTACGTCCCCCTGCCTGCTCGGTGGTAGTGTCAGTACACGCCGAGCCCGTCCTCCTTTCTCCACCGCTGTCAGCGGAGAAACTGTGGCCCCTACAGGGCCCCGCCATCAGGTTTTTTACCGAGGTTTCCTCCTCCATGCTCCGAAGAGCGAAGAGCCAGCAGGGCAACCGGCAGACACGCCCACCCTGCTGGACCAGGCCTTGCCCGAGAGCCGATGAACGGCTGCCTCTTCTGCTAGAATATTGGCCGCTGGCGATAATCCTCTCCTCCAAGAGGACAAGGAGGAAACAGTACCATCGCCAGCGTTTCCAGGGTGCACCACGAGGAGGTTTTCTAGCCCAGCACCCCGTACAAAATGAACCTAAGACAACCTAAAACAACTTCCATTAGGAATTGAATATCTAATAAAGATAACAATATCCAAGGAGTGCGGTTGGACACCTTCGTCACCGACTCTAATGGAATTATGAAACTGTACAAAATAAACCTAAGACAACAACAAAATAAACCTAAAACGATTTCCATTAGGAATTGAATATCTAATAAAGATAACAATATCCAAGGAGTGCGGTTAGACACCTTCGTCACCGACTCTAATGGAGTTATAAAACTGTACAAAATAAACCTAAGACAACATCCATTAGGAATTGAATATCTAATAAAGATAACAACTTCCAAGGAGTGCGGTTGGACACCTTCGTCACCGACTCTAATGGAGTTATAAAAAAAATGCTTCACCCTAAAATTGGCAATACGACAAACACATTTCTAAAAATGCGAAAAAGGTTTATACTCGTATATTCGACACAACAAGGCGGTGCGAATGTAAAAAAACCCGGGGTATTGAGATCGGCTCAACATCACCGAACTACCGGGCACAATACAACAAATGTCAAACCAAAATATTCTATACAACAAGGCGGTGCGAATCAGTATTGGGCAAAATTTATTCGAATGACGAATAAATAAATTACTATTTCGTTATTCACGAATAATAAATAATTTCTTTATTCAAAGTAAAATTATTCGAATGACGAATAAATTATTTTATTCGTTAGTCGGTTAATGAATAAAAGTAAAACTAGGAAGAATGGAATTTAAATCAAATATTTATTTGCTTTCAATTATCATGTATTTACAGTTATGATTGATTCTTAATATTCGTTTTCATCACTACTCTTTCTTCAAACATGTTGTCAGACAATCTGCTTGACTTTGGCAGGTTTATCATAGTGGCGTAAGAAAAAACGCGTTCTACTGATGCAGATGAAGGCAATGGTGTATTGTATTTTTGAAATATAGTTTTTATTTCAGGATAGCGATCTAAAAAATTGAAAGTACGATCTTCTTCAGTAAAATATTGAGATACTATTACATCAGCCCTGGTTTTCAGTGATTGCTTTTGTATGTCAGCTTCGCTTCCCGAGTCTGATCCGAAATCAAAAAATGAGTTTTCTGGATCAGTAGCAACTCTATTTTCAGAATACGAAAGATTCTTGGACACTTTTTTTGCTATTTCATGTTTAAATAATGTTTTGATTCTTCTTTGTTCATGTGGTGTAATGCAACTAAACCATTTGTTCTTGAATCTCGGGTAGGACAACGCACTGTGGAATATTTCGGTGTGTTTCGGATTAAAAATCTGTAACTCCGTCAATTCGAAAGATAAAGCTATCAAATTTTGTTCTAATATAAAGTCATACATAAGAGTTCATATAAGTAATGTTTCATGAATTGGAATGATGCGTATATTTTTTTAAGTAATGAAGAAAGTGACTTTCATTAGAAATAATATTCATTTATTGAAATATATTTTTTTACAAACATATCGTATGTGTATTTTTTAATTCTAATAACTCAATTAAGATGATTAACATTAAAATGATTATATCAAATTAAAAATGTAAAAATAAACACTACGCCTAAATATAGAAACATATTGAATTAAAATTATCGCAATATATATATATTTCTTTATTGATCAGCAAGATTGACATCTTACACCCTGTGAGCTTCAGGATCTGAAATAAGTTCATTAACCTTGAGAAGGTGTAAAGTATCTTCATCGAGCTCCTTAAAATTTTTTGCATATGGTTTTCTTATGCTCGTTATATATGGATCTGAGGTGTAAAGTAGTGTATTCAACACATCTTCGTTTGTAGCTATTCGAGAGCATTTCCGAGCATGGTGTAAGCGAAATTTTTTATAGTCCTTATTGCGAGATTCTTGAGCATCTTCTGAAAGTGGTTTATGATACTTTCTCCGTGAATTAAAATTTTGTGGACAGATGATAGCATGTAATACCAACTATATTTACTCACTTATATTCTTGCTGTTTCCAGAGCATAATTACCAAATTTCTTTCTATCTACCACTATACCAGATGACAAAGCCTGTAAAATTATGTATGTTAAATTAAATCAATGTCAACTCCTGTGATATCAGCAGAACAGGCAGCATTGTAAAAAAATCTTCTAGCAGTATTGCTTTCATTACTATTTCCCGTCCCCTGTCGTGGTTTGTCAATATTTAGACCCAACTCTTCACGAAATCGCTTCTGTACTTCAGCCTTTTTTTCTTGTTTGAGTCTTTTTTTTTCTTCGCTTGTAGCAGACCACGTTTGGAAAGATAGATTATATGATATGTGTAATATCATTTCCATGCAACGAATCCAGGCATGTAATGTGGATAATCCGTATTGATAAGCATTTTCATTTTCAGGCCTGGCTGTTACTTTTGTTAAATCATTCATTTGTCTAGGAGTTGCTCCGCATATTGTACATGTGGAACTAGAAGGCGTATCTGTTAAAACTTGTGCCACTTTTCCGTCTATCATCGTCAAAAAAAGTTCATGCTTGACTTGAACTCCCACTCCTTCTTTATTAATTACTGATGGAAGCAAAGTTTGTATTTGATTTTTTATTTCATCTACAACAGATTTAGTTTTTTCTGGTGTTTCTTTGCAAAATTCTATAGATATAGGCCGACAAAAACGAACAGATGAAGGCACTGGATTTTGCCATATGATGGCGCCTGTTTCCTCGTCAATTAATCTGATAGGCACAAAAGAAGTAATAAATAAATTTGCATCGGAAATAAGTTCAGACTCCTCTGGTAGAGGTAGCTTGTACTGGCTTTGTCCAGATGACCCATCACAACCCCATTTGCTATGTAATATTAAATGTTTTTGTCCATTCTTGTAAACTGTATCCATACATAAAATTCGAGCTGCAGTGTGATCTAATAGATCTTGAACTCTCAATATTTTTGCATAAGTATTTGTGATTTCGATTGTCGATGATGGTGAATAGCATCTCTGTTTCATTTCTTGTATTTTGTAGTATGGTGGAAATAAAGAACAGTTTCTTTCATCTGTAACGTTCCTGAGATACAGATATTGTACCTTTGTTAGTTCCAAGTCGATGTAGACACTTAAGGCTTCTTCATCTGTAAGCCCTTTAATTATTTTTGCATCATCTAATTGATTTATAACGAAAACCTTTTTCTCTGCATCAGCCAACCTTAATTTTTCAACAGCTTTTGCTTCAGTTCCTTCTCCTATAGAACGCAATCCTTGAAGATATGCGCTTAGAATGTGCTCCAAACCATATTCATTTAGCAAAACTGTGTTTTTCCTTTTTTTGCTCGATTCTGAAGAGTCTCCATATGACACACACGGTCTTCCTCTTTTACCATAAGAAGTAGACGGTGTAGAGTCCGTTGACACGTTTTCTGATGTTGGTATGGTTATCGAATATTCTGAATCCAACCAATTGGTGTTCTTTCTTAAAAAGGTATTCTTATTGCGTCCTGCTTCACTCCAGCGTTTATTAAACGATGGGATGATATCCCTTTGAATATGACCAATAATAAAACATATATTGTCTTCTGAAACTTGTTTTCCCTCTAAATGTGTTGAAAGTGCCGCAGTCGTTTTTCCGCCTTCTATATAAGACACTATTAACTCACGTTTAGTAGAGTTAAAAGTCGACATATTGAATAATGAAACAGCCGTACTAGAGTAGGTAGAAACGGTAATGGAGAAATATTTTTTCACTGCCCTTTTTATATTGTTTCAGAATGTGGGAATATTTCAGATATCTATTTTCCCACTAAAAATGACATCGATGTGATAAAAACTTAACAATATCAAATAATTAATTCATAAAACGTATCACAAGTTATTGATAATAAAAGTAAACTACGGAACCGCATTTGATAGCGATTTCCGTTCCCTGACTAGTATTAGTTTTTTTCCCATATCTTCGTAAACCGCAAAAAACCGCAGCTGATTTTTTTATATGTTTTAGGTGAGTAACTAACCTATGAATTACCATTAAATTCAAAGCATCGGTAAACAACTCTAAATGGTAAAAGCTTCGACGAAGTTGAGGAAGGAATATTTTTTCCCCATTTTTTCTTTAAAACAGTTTAAAAAACTCGTCGAATCTTCTTTCAACGCTTTGCCTGTATGCTGCTGCTAAATCATGGCAGTACGTTAATGGAATGTTCTCTAATTTTTGCAGTTTCTTGCGTAAAGCCATTAAACATGGAATCAGAAGTCCATAATACATTATTGCTTCTCCTTGCAGTATATCTAAAGCCTCGGCAATAGGACATGAACATGTGATATATTCGTTTATATATTCATATTCACGGTCAATGATATAATTTCTGAGGCACAAAGCTCTATGCAGTTGAATGTTCTTGTCTTTGATGGAGTAAATTTGCTTCATAGCGTCATATAAGCTATTCCATCTTGTAACGCCAGGTTTGCTAAGTGTATGTCCTAAAACACCTTGAATGATTTCTGCTGTCTTGGGACGTCCGGCAGCATTCCACAATATGTTACATTTTTCAATAGCATTATGATGCATTTCAGTTAATGATGTATTATTATCTACTTTAAGTATTCGATTAGCATCTGTAGTAGCAGACAAATTCAGAGTATGAGTATCTGAAATGACACGCTAATTGAAAATCACGTGGATCAATAATTTCTCGTAAATCATCTTCTTCATCATCCAAATCATCTTCTTCTAAATCAAACGAATCTGAGTTTAAAATTGATACACCAAATTCTTTGAATGCTTTGATGAAGTTGGAACCATTATCAGTAACTGTTGCGACTATCTTCGTGAAATTCAGATTAAATTCAGTGTGAATTTCGTCAAGTATCATGGCAATTCGTTCATAATTATGAATTCCAAGAAACCTCCTGCAAGCTAGTGTTCTGTATTGTCGGCTGAGATCCGCATCTATCCAATGAGCAGTTCAACTCCAAGAAAACTTTGTTTACGAGTCGACCATATATCAACAACAGTGCATTTATATTGTGCAGCTTCTAACGTCGATTTGATCGCGGACATTTGCAGCGCATGTTCAGCATCAATTCTTCTGCTCAATGTTCTTCGGCTGATGACATGTATTCCGCGGTTTTGTTACCCCAGATTATTTAACATCGTAATAAAAGATGGATCTTCTACTGCATTCAGTGGAATCATTGAATAAATGAAGAATAGTACCAAATCATGTTCAAAGTTTGTTTGGGAAATTGTGTTGGACTTTGAAGTTAAAAAAATTCCGCTTCCGAAGTCGGCACTATGACTTCTCTTTTGTTTCATCTTCTTGGCATCCTCGTGATATTCAGGAATGGCTTCATCCCCATGTTTTCTTTTTAAATGGCTCAAAATGTTTGACGACGAGTTTGGACAACCTTTAATTTTTACAACTTTAGGTTCACACTTCACACAGGTCATCAGAATGCGTTTTCCACTCGAAGATGAAGAGTCATACTTAAAAAACTTGCCATCTAACAAAGTTAATGTCGTTTTTACATTGTTTTGATTTACCGAAACATTGGCAACATTTTCATTAGAACTTTCCACATTGATTGAACTAATTTGATTTGATTGAGAATTATCCTGACAGTCCAAACTCTCTAACTCCATAATTTCGATGAATAAATCACACACTTTCAAAGTCCAAGAATACCACAATATAATACTTGTGATTTGATTAGCCGCACCGCTCTGGTAAACAGATTCCGAATGACTGGGGAGAGTACCCAGAATATTAGCAATTTACCAAAACAAAATAATTATTTTGTGACCACAACTGATAAGAAAGTGCGCTCTCTCTCACACTTAAATACAAGTCCCGCTCTCTCGTATTGTAATGATCCCTTTCTTGTGTCGCTATTATTCGTTAAATTCCGGAAATCAGGCAGGCAGTTGACGATATACGATTGGCACCAATTCGTCTTATCGCTCTAATATTTAATATTTACAATAACGAATAAAATGGCGACACAAAAACAACAACAATATCGAAAATGTGCGGGTAGATGAAGAGCCTTCTACTTCACGGATTCGACGACGGAGGGCGTGCGCCGATGAGCCAGTCAGCCTGTGACCACGGCCGGTGCAACCTGGTCGAAACGTCAGGCAAACCAGAGGTATGTAATACCCTAAATAAGAGATCGCGTTAATTTCCGTTAAAATAATATTAATTATATACATATTAAAGGGTGTCTCAGAATGTTTTTCGTTTTTAGATATAAATAAAAAACAACAATATCAATTAAAACTCGTTTTATTTATTGTTAAATTGAAAAACAACCGTTTGCAAATGCGCACCGTTTACTTTCTCACACTCATTTAACCTGGAGCTAAAATTTTCAATCACTCGCTGGAGCATCGCTCTTGGAATAGAGTTGATTTCTTCAGTGATTCATTGCTTCAAAACATTCAGATTGGGCGGCAATGGATTGTAAACTTTACTTTTTAGGTAGCCCCATAGAAAAAAATCAGCAAGCGTTAAAATAGGGCTCCTCGGTGGCCAGTTGATGTCTCCTCGCCGACTTATCACTCTTCCAGGGAATAAATCGTGAAGAGCTGCTAATGAGTCATTTGTAACATGAGAAGTGGCTCCATCTTGCTGGAAAAAGGTGTTGCGGTTGTAGCCATACTGGTTTTGCATTTCTGTAGCCAAAAAAGTCCGGATCATATGGCAATATTGATCAGAATTAACGGTCTGAGTTCGACCTCGGTCATCCTCAAAAAAATAAGGACCGAAGATTCCTTGACTTGATATGGCAGCCCAAACAACAACTTTTGGCGAGTGCAAGGGCTTCTGGTGCAGTTCTAGCGGATTCTCGGAAGCCCAGTATCTGCAATTTTGTTTATTCACGTGACCTTTTATGTGAAAATTCGATTCGTCGGAGAACAAGATGTTATTGAAACTCCTAAAACGGTTTTTCATTGTCCTGCAGAATTCGACTCGTTTATCAGGATCATCAGGCTTCATTTCTTGAACAATAACAATTTTATAGGGGTGAAAATGTAAGTCTTTCGAAATAATGCGATGAACCGTAGATTTGTTCAAATTAAGAGAAGCTGCGCGCAATCTCAACGACTGTCGTGGGTCGTCCATAACAGACTGGCGAACGCGGTCGACGTTCATGCTCGTTCTTGAAGTACTTTTGCGCCCAGACGATTTGTTCGGCATTGTATTCCCAGTCTCTTGAAACTTGCACACCCAATGCTTAATTAAATTGGCACTTGGCACATGATTTAAGCTTGTTAAATTAAAATGTGTCCTGTAGAGACGACGAACAATAGTGTAGGAATCGTTGTTTTTATAAAACGCCCGCACGCAAAACGCGCGCTGCGGTCCCGTGAAACGATTCATGGCTACTAAACTTAACAAGCCGGCCAAGCGTTTGAGACCACTCCCCTCCCCCTGCTACCTGCGGTTGGCGCGTATTGGTCAATTCAAAAACGAAAAACATTCTGAGACACACTATTTACATTTTTAAACATACACTTTATAAAAAATTATAAAAAAATATAAAAAGTAGTACACCACCGACATCGGGTACAGGGACCAAGACACCGGTGGTTAGGACTCCAAAGATAGGAACCTCCTCACTATACGAGCCGTGTCAAGGAGGACTGCCTTCTGCATCAGACCCTTGATCCAGCCGTCCATCTTGAGCCTCTTAAGGTGTTGGTCGAGGCTCTTGGCTATCAATCCGTGAGCAGATACGACTATCGGAATGTAGTGTGCGGCTCGCCTTACCTTATATGTAACTGCACACATTTATTTAGAACATTATTAAACCGTATATTATTATATCTCATAAAAAAATCCTGACCGAGAATGCCTTCTGCGGTACAAGATAAGTTCTCAAAAATATAGAACTTTTGATTGAACTCTACGCCGTTAATAATAATATCTAAGTAAATATATCCCAGAGATTCTAAATATCCACTAATCCCTTTAATAGCTATCTTATCCTGCTGCATTAAACCTAACAAACTCTCGTGTCGCGACAACCATTCATACTTAAGCACACATAAACTCGCTCCGCTATCTATTAATAAATTGAAATTACTATTATTTCTAAGTTGACAATTAACTACACAAAAATTACTAAAACTAAAAATGGAATGAGTGCATTCCTTAGGGACGAAAAAATTCTAAGTTATTAGCAATGGTCGCATCATTTTGAACATTGGACTGTTGCACGCTATGCTGGACACATTGACTACGTGCCGTCCGCGCACCGCGATACTGCTGACGCTGCTGAATGTGTTTGCTATTACCTCGATGTATAAATAACGAGGGTCTTTGACCGCTACTCGTGCCATTGTACTGTGTGCGATTTACTTTATTGCTATTATAATCATTATAGAAGTGATTATTACCTCGGCCACGAAAACCTCGTTTATAAGTGAAATCACGCCTATTATTTTTTGTAGCCCTAAACTGCATGACCTGATCTTGATGTTGGGTACACATGGACTGTTCGTCTACCGCGGCTCTAATGGCCTCAGGCAATGACGTAAATTCCCTTGATGCAATGATGGTACCGAGACGATGATCGGCTAAACCATCACTAAACCTCTTGATTGCAGTCTTCTCATTAAGAGGACGCAATATTTCGTAGGCATCACGATTATCGTTCGCCTGAGCAATCGTGAGCTTCACGAACAACTCCTCGAGCTCTGTACCGAATTTCTCAATACTTCTACGCCCTTGAGAAGCCCTAAACAATTGTGTTTGCAAAGCGACCGTAGACTTTATAGGCAATAAATATTTTCAAATGTCCTGTACAAAAGTTTCAACATCCCTATATGTAGACCTAAGCCGAAGTTTGGCACTTGGTGACAACCGAGTTTTTAAAACAAATTCTATTAATTTGCTTCTACTTTCCTCACTTAAAACTGAATTATAAAATAAAATACCATCTACGAGCTGCTTAGTCACCTGCTCCTGGCCATTCATTACCGGCAATAAGGAAATTGCAGTTTTAATATCAAATGAGTCAGCCATTTTAAAAATACCTAATAAATCCCTAGAACTAGTTTGACTGCTATTGTCTATCATACAAAATAAACCCTTTATATATTTAAAAGTTAATTGAATTTCATTAATTAATGTTTGAAAGCACTCACAAGATTCTTTGCTTATCTTGCGATCAGTAACTTCTTGGTTCAACTGAGTCAAAATATAATCCATTCGAATTGGTTTTTGGTAAAAATTGTAATTTACCAACCAATTTAGCACAAAATATGTACGTAGATCCAGTATACAATCCTGATTCTTACCCATTAGAACTAAAATATAGACTTCAGAGAGCACAAACCGAAGCTAGGTTCAATTTATTAAAAAGTAAAGAATTAAGGAAAATAAACTACGATAAAAATATGAATAAATGTAACTATAAGTATGGAGATTTAGTTTTGGTTAAAAATCAAGTAGGAAATAAGTTGGATAAATTATATTTAGGCCCATATAAAGTACTAGAGGACATACCACCAAATGTTAAAATTTTAAAAGATGGAAAATATTATGTTATTCATAAAAATAATACTAAGTTATTTGTTACATAAAATTAGTAAAATTGTATTAAACATAATATGTTATGTAAAGCTTGTATTTTTTTTCTCATTGTTTGGTGTATAAAAATAATTTATAGGATAAATCATTTTTTTTATAAAAAGGGGAGGTGTAGTGTGCGGCTCGCCTTACCTTATATGTAACTGCACACATTTATTTAGAACATTATTAAACCGATTATGGAACCGAACAGTTGTCTATAATTTACCTACGTCACGAAACAATGATCACTGTATCAACATTCCACATATCGACAATCTCGTGAGATAAATTCA